GAGTAGGACCGGGAACCACGGTTGTCGTGGCCATTCCGGCGCTACCAAGATGCAGTCTGTTTGCGCCGACTGCATTCGCGCGATCACCCTCGGGATGAGCGGGAACGGCGGGAAGAGGTAGAGCAGGTGCCTCGACCAGTCTAGCAGGAACGCGTCTCCGAGACACCCCGGTACCGTGTTCGGAGCAAGCCGAGCACCGAACTGAGGCAGTTGGGCATTTTGCGGCGACGCGAAGAGGTCTGCGGCCGGAAGGCCCCATTCCCTGAAGATCTCCGCCAGGACATCGGGGTTCAGCCTCCACTCGTGGGATGTTGCCCTGGTTCTGCTGAGTACGTCGGCCTCGACGTTGGCTTCGCCCGGGAGGTGCAAGGCTGTTATCGACACCGACCTGGCTACACACCAGTCCCAGAGTTCCAGTGATAGCTTGAGGAGCTTCCTCGAGCCCGTTCCTCCCTGCTTGTTCACGTAGAACATTGCCACCATGTTGTCCGTGAGGATCTGAACAGACTTCCCGGCGACTAGGAGGGCGAATGCTCTCAGGGCCTTGAAGATTGCCAGCAGTTCCAAGTAGTTGATGTGGTACTGCTTCTCCTGAGGAGACCAAAGGTCGTGCACCGAGAGTTCTCCTGTATGGCATCCCCATGCGAACATCGAGGCGTCCGTCGTAATCGTGATGGCTGGGGGCTCTGGATGAAAAGGAATGCCCTTGCAGACATACTGGCGGTTCATCCACCAGGTCAGAGAGTCCTTCACCGACCTCGGTACCAGCAGACGCTTTGCGGCACTGTCCCGTATGGGATTGAAGTGGTCCAGGAACCATCTCTGGAGGGGCCGGAAGCGGAGCCTTGCCAACGGTGTCACCATCACCGTGGAGGCCATGTGTCCGAGGAGGACTTGTACTTGCTTCGCCGGGACCACTCGGGAGCAACGCACCTTGAGTACCTCGGCTCGAAGTGCCCTGAATCTCTCCTCCGGAAGGAAGACTGTCTGGGAGAGAGAATCGAACATGGCGCCGATGAACTTTATGCAAGTGGTGGGCTCGAGGTGGGATTTTTCCTCGTTCAACTGGAGGCCCAGGTCCTCGAGGAGAGAAAGTGTCCTTGCCACCTGTGTTTGCAGAAGGTCCGGGGAGCGTGCTGCCAACAACCAGTCGTCTAAGTAAGGGAAAATCCGGATTTTTTCCCGTCTGAGGGCCGCTGCGACCACCGACATGCATTTCGTAAAGGTCCTCGGTGCCGTCACGAGACCGAAGGGGAGGACGTTGAACACGTACGTCTGTCCCGCTACTCTGAAGGCCAGGAAGCGTCTGTGGTGCTCCCTGATGGAGAGATGGAAATAAGCGTCCCGGAGATCGACGGACACGAAGAAGTCCCCGTATCGGAGGAAGGGGAGGATGGACGATACCGTCACCATCCGAAACCCTCGATGTTCGATGAAGGAGTTTAAGTCTCTGAGATCGAGGATGGGGCAAAGGGAGCCATCTGGCTTCGGGACAGTAAAGTATCTGGAGAAGAAGGCTCGATGGTTTTGAGAGTCCGGGAGAGGGGAAATTGCCCCCTTCAGGAGCAAGGTATCGACCTCTGTCAGGATTGCCGAGGATGGCTCAGTCTCTATAATTTGCCCCGTTGGTGGGAGCTCTTCGAACTCCAATGCATAGCCTTCGTCGACAATCTTTAAAACCCATGCATCTGAGGTGATGCTTTCCCATGCAGGGAGAAAGTTCGTCAGGCGTTCTCCGAACGGTGTCGAGCCGGATGGAAGGATGAGGGTGGGTACCATTGGGAGGGACATGGGAGCAACATCGGTAACGGAACTGCAAACGGTATCGTCCACCAGCGCGTCAAACGCGACGCCTGGCCTGGTTGCCTCCTGAAGCCTGCCGAGAGCGCGAACGCTGCTGCTGGTGCTGCCGCCGTTGTTGTTGGGGCTGCTGGGAGTGGGTTTGCTGAGGGGTCTGCAGGGGACGGGTTGGATGCCGGTACTGAATAGTACGGCACGGGATCGTGTGCCTGCGCTTGTACTGGAACCATCTGGTACGTTGCACCTGGCCCTGGTTCTCGATCCCGCACTTCGAGGCCAAAGTCTTGAAGTCGTGGTTTGACTTCAGTTTGTCATCCGTCCCAGCGTTAAAGAGTCCCAGGGGATCGAACGGGAGGTCCTCGATCACCTGCCTCGACGATGTAGAGAGGCCAGAAGATCTCAACCAGGCATGTCTCCTGAATGCTACCGCATGAGCAATCATTTTGCCCGCGGTGTCTCCCGTGTGCTTGGCCATCTGCATCTGATGATGCGCCAGAGAGTGT